TTGAGAGTGGCAAAACAATGACAGGCCCAACCTGAGACCCACCCCATGAGAGAGAGCCAACCTTTGGCACTATTGATGATACTCTGCTATGCTTGCAGGCGGGAGCCTAGCATAAGTGTGTTCTGAGAGGCTTCATCCAGAAGCTGGAAGATGCAGAGATCTATAGCCAAACAGTAAGAAGAGCTCAGGGAGGAAGGATGGAAGGAGCCTGCAGGGTCAAGGACACTATAAGAAGACCTACAGAATCAACTAACCTGGGCCCATGGGGGCTCACAGAGACTGAATCACCAACCAAAGAACATACACAGACTGGACCTAGATCATCTACACAAAGGTAACAGATGTGCAGCTTGATCATCATGTGGGTCCCCTAACAATGGGATTAGGGGCTGTCTCTGACTCTGTTGCCTGCCTTTGAATCCCTTTCACCTAGCTGTGCTGCCTTATTTGGCCTCAGCAGGAGAAGCTGCCATTAGTTCTGCTGTGACTTTAGGTGCCAGGGTAGGTTGGTACCCCTTGGAGACCTCACCTTCACTGAGCAGGAGGTAGCGGGGGGGGAGGGGACATGTGGGTGGGACTAGGAGGAGAGATGGAAAGGGGCTAGAAACAAGCTGTAAAGTGAGAAAATAAAAAATAATTGAACTACATATTTAATGAAAAACATTATATCACATTTTATCTAACACAAGATCATTATTTTATTTCTTTTCATATTAGTAAGATTTTATAGCTAAAATATTACATTATACCATCATGTGCATAAAAATGTGATATTAAATCAAAGTCAAAATTTTTTCATGTTAAACAATATCAATATATTTTACTAAAGTGTTTTATGCTACTATGCATTGTAAAGTACTTTCAGAATTTTCCATTACATTTAACTTTACTTGTTGTTACTCTTTTAAGCAGTTAAAAATGAGACAATAAAGATGTATATACATTTGAACTAAATACAAAGATACTATAACATTTTCCTGTACATCTGCTCACTATAATGTATGTTTATATATTAATGTGCAGGACAAATTTGTAAACATGAACATTTGAAACTTTGAGAGGAAATGATAGTCATCATTTTACTCTCAATATTTTATTGAAACAGCATGTTACATTTGGCCAGCCCCGTATGTCTAAATAGTTTTACATATGGGATGCGTTTTGAATGGTCTATGTTATCTATTCATTCTGTTTTATGTTGCCATCCAAACCATGTTTATTTATAGAGTTTTAATACAAAATACCATTTAATTGCAGAAAAATCTAAGAAGATTAAATGTATATCAAGGTAGTTATATCAAAGCAACTACCACCAGTGCCCAAGCTATTTATACATTTGGTTTGTTTTTATAGCTCCTCCAATAAGCATGCTAAATTCCAGTGAAATCAATTGGTAAACTGTTGCTGGATACTGGAATGTTTTTGTTATTTTGGCTGGTTGAATATATTTCAGCACAGAGTCAACATATCTTTAAATTGGAATACAAAACATTGTACTTCTACCCTGTCAATTCAATTCTCAAAGCAGAGCATATGCATTAGACATTTCTAAATATATTTAAATATGCCTCTCCACATAAGTATACATAATTGATAATGTATGTCAGTATCTAATGAATACCTAATGAGTAAATTTTCTGTACAGCATCTCTCTTTAAGAGTGGGAGAAAAAAAACACACTGTAAACCATTTTAAAAGAAAACTAAATATAACATTGGAGATCTCTCTCACACACACATTATGTGTGTATATATACATATTAGAGTGACATCTGTAATTTATATAACCATATACATTTTTTATGACTTATCAGTGAGATGAAATTAGGAAACAAAAATGTAAAAAAAAAGTCCTACTTCATACATGATAATATGTGTACAGTTTTATTATATCAAACATACTAAATTTGTTGTTAGAATGCATATAAACTTTTGAAAAATATATTTTAGTATTTATCCAACACATTTATTTCAGCTATATTCTGCCTCAGCTAGAAAACCGCCTGGCACATCAGTAATATTTCAAAGCTACATTTGTACCTGCTTTGTGTGCCATTATTTCCCCAAGGTATGAAATAGAAACGATTAGGAGAATGTAAGGAAATTCTTCCATGATGTCCAGTGCAGATGCTTGTCTTTATGCATTGTTGCCTCCCTGGTCATGTTGTCAGCACATGAGATACCATGGAGTCCTCACTTGCTGAGACTAATAGTTCGTTTCTTTTCCTGCCACAGACATATTTCAGCATCACAGAAGAATGAAATCATGTCCATCCTCAGACCATATGGAGAATTCATGACTGAACGCAGTGTGAAACATTTCTTTACAGCATGGGAGTTTTGAAGAAGCCTCTTTGTTTTCAAAGCACACTAAATAGAAGCAATGACATTAGTTAATTTGAAGATTTTAAAAGTATGTAACTTAAATTGCTATAAAGTTATACTTTGGTCTTCTAAAATATAATATCCATATAGTTTAGGCACCTATACTGAAAAGAAATAATGATACTAAAGGTATTTATGTTCTAAATTATGTTACCAAAAGTCTTATATTAATATTTGAAATGTAATGAGCAATGTAATATAACAATCTGTCCACTTACACCTTCATTGAAATGCAACTTTTGACATTGATTTCAGCTTGATGACTGTTCCATAAAATACCTTCTTGATCAGGGGATCTGACTACAGGTTTAAGCTAACTAGAGCTATATAAAGGTAAAAATACCATTTACTTATTTCCTGATTAAATGTGCAAGTTTTCCAAAATTGATGCAAGGTTTATTTGGGAAAGTCACATATGATATCGGGTTAAATACAAGATATCTAAATGCAGACTTTTTTTTTAAAGGAGAGAGAGAGAGTGTGTGTGTGTGTGTGTGTAAGTGAGTGATTGTGTGTGTGTTCAAACCAGGTGAAAATACAATGTTTAATTACTAGAATTTGGAACTTATGCAGTATCATGTGACTACTTTCATGTGCTAACAATTTCACACTTTGCCTAACCAGATGCTTTTGAAAGTTTTTAAAGAAAGGCAGTTAAATATGGACAGATAATTTTTTTTGTTAAATAACCGTATCCACAATTTATCAACTTTCTTAAGTTCTATACCATATGTTTAGGCATTAAATATTTATGTGCATGAGTTAGTGGTAACAGATTTCTGCAGATGGACAGTTTATTTCAAGAAAAATGGAATATTTGATTGAGAATTTTTCTAAGTCTAATTTTCTATGAAGGCTTTCTCTCGTTTACTATGATTAAAACTGTGAGAGTACAATTATGAACTTTTAATGAAATAAGGTAAGATAAATACCAAACTTACAGCATTTAAAATATTGCCTCTTTCTGTTAATTACTATTGCTAGTATAATTATTTATGCTTAGATTTATGACTAGAACACATAACAAAAATACCTGACATTTAAAGCATTGGTATATATACTCTGGAATAGCTATAAAATTAATATCTTCCTTTATGTAATAATTAAAGAACAACTCAGAGATTTTCTTTACTTTTCAGTTAAATAACTTCTTGTCACTTAAAGAGTAATCACATATAGGAGATCATATGGTTTCATTATATTTTGATAAGACACCATTGTTAAATTCATAATTAATATTACTAAAGTTTGCCTAGAGAGTTCCTATTGTAGTGTAAGCAAAATTAAATTGTCCTTGTTTGTTTAGTCCCTTGTTCAACAATCTTAGATAGTATATATTTCATACCTCAGAGACTCAATAGATATTCCATTAGTTTAAGCTGTAAATAATATATTATTTTTACTAGAATATTTAATCTTATGTAACCTTGTGCTGTTCTGTATATATTTCTGCAAGTCAGGAGATTATAATTTATAGAAAGGCATTAATTATAAGGAGTATTTGAGAGGAAATAACTCTTTTGGTTAATATAATAAATACTATGTTTTAGAAAAATAAGAAAAGCTTTTTGGCAGATTGGTTAGTGTTGAGAAAAGTCAACTCATATTACTAGAATCAAAGTACTTGGTTTAGTAAAATGACTGCAACTGTGCTAGAAATATTAATATCTCATTGATTTTAAAGATATGTAATGAGTATGCCATACTTTATAAATCATGATTGTATTTGAATTAAAAAAACTAAAACAAAGTTTTACTTTTTACCTTTGTTCAATTACATTTACCATGACGAACACACAGGATGGGAAAATGGGAATTAAATTCTACTAACTAATGTTACTTTCATATCTATGGACTCAAATATATTCTTTCCCTTCAAATACTATTTCAGTTTTTAGAGGGCTAAAATCATGTGTTTTAGTATGTAAAATGAATAAGATTTTTAGAGGCATTTAGTAACACACTTCATATATGAAATATCAAAAAATAAAAGGAAACAAAGATTAAAGTTACTTGGAATTCTTTACCTTTCACATGATCTTTGCATCCTTTCAGAATTAAAAAGTATCTAGGCTACACAGGTTAATGGAAAATAATACTTGAAACTTGTGTTCCTGTCAACAACTTAAAACTGTAATTACTATTCCTTTCAGAAGCAAAATATAAATCAAACAATTCGTTTTTTGCCATAATTGTTTGATATTTTACAGTGTAGCCAATCTTCACAGATAAAATTGAAATATTTTTATTGCTTTTACATGAATTATATACATCTTACTTTGATCTTAGTTAATAGGTAAAACACAGATGTATGATGAGTTGACAATGTAATTGGAGATTTAATCTCTTGCCATTAATTATCACTGATGCATTATCTCATCAAATAATATTTATTAAGCAACTTATTAGAGGACCAAGGTTATTTTAATGTCCTATTCTTACAGGTCACAGATGACATTATATAGAAATTCTTGTAAACACTTGTTAAGTTACTTCAAGTACAAAACAAAACAATGCTGTTGGGTCAGGATGCTTTTAAGAGATGTTGCTCTTTTGTTAAAAATTAAGAAAATGGGTGCTTACATGTAAATGTGTTAAAATATGATTGTTGTTCCATTAAAGGCAATGGTTGCTTGCAGGGTACCAATGGGAATGACCACATCTGTCTTCTTCAAAAGAAATCTGACTGCTGACATTTTCACTGAGGTGATTGGCAGAATTTTCCAGTCTAGGTGCCATGGAGAAGTTGTAACTACAACAGCCATTATGAGGATGAAAAGGGCAACTGAATTCTTCGTGAGCAATGGAGTTTGGCTGGAAAATGTTTCCAGGATTCTGTAATCCATATAATTTTTTATTGGCAGAATGAGACTCTTGTAGGCACTGCCCATTGCAGTCTTCATGTAAGCTATTGTTCGAATAGATGATGCCTCTGGAAGATACCATGGGCACTTCCATTATGAATGGGGTTAAAGACTGAGGACTGGTGTAGCTCGGCAGCCTTTCAGGAGTAGGTAGGACAAAAGGTTGTGGTTGCCAAAAATTAGTTGAACAAATTCTATAGCAGAAGGGTAGGTTGCTGTTGGGCAGGTATGCCTCTGGATATGTGACTGCAAAGGAGCTTGGAGGTATGTGAACCAGAGGTGGGGAACAAGATGGGGAAAGTAAGGAGTTCAGAGGAGAAGGAGTTCCTCCACTAGAGGTCACTGGAGATGAGCCACTGCTTCCACCTGTGAATGACAAGTCAGAGAAGAATGAACCTGATTTTCCTGCTGAACCAGTAATCTTATGTATTGCCCTTTCTGTCCCATTCTTGGAGTAGTTTTTCTTTGCAAGTTCACAGTTCTTCCATCTTAGAAAAAGATCGTATTATTGCTCTGACTGACTCTGAATATGGTGGCTCTACTACTGACAGTACTGTTACTGTGCATTACACACTATACTCCAGGTCTTTACATTTTGCCCAACAGTTAAGAAGCCGTATATGTAACTCAGCCAATAATATATCACAAATAAAAACTGACTTTTTAATTTTTAAACTGCATATTATTTTTTAAATTGCGTTTTGAACTTTTTGCTTCGGGTTTTACAGATTGTTTCAGCATAAAAAGCTAGCAAATATGAAAATAATTTTATTGATGGAAAACATATTGACAATCATTACACTTTTGTCTTGTGTGAAAATCACAGATGAGATTTTTACCATTCTTTTTACCAAGATTTGAAGACAGTGTTTCAAGTTCAGACACATCAAGGTGGGAAGAAATGTGTTTACGCAATTGCATCCAAATTTTTTTATTGTTTAACATAGTGGTTTCAAACCATTTGGAGATCACATATCAGATATTAATATTATGATTCATAACAGTAGAAAAATTGCAGTTATGAAGTAGCAACAGAAATAATTTTATGGTTTGAGGTCACCACAACATGAAAAACTGTATTAAAGGGTTGCAGCAACAGGAAGCTTGAGAACCACTGTTTTAACAGATAATAAAGATTGGAAATATTTATATGGTACAAGAAAAATCTAGGTTCTGAACTTTATTTTTTGTAAATGTTCAGTCAATTAAGTTTGACCATACTTGATGAAATTGTCAGATTTTATTGATAATTTTGTTATTTTTCTTGGGTATATTTGTATGTAAATAAAAATATATGCTAATGTTTTATAAGCAGAGTGACAAATACCTGTAGCAAAGCAGTCAAAAGCTATTTTAAAAATTATTGCCCCTCTCCAATTTGAGTGCACTCTGTACACCATAAATGATGAAGTTTACTATCAATTAATGGTCACTTTTGTCTTTTTTGAAATTAGGCTACTTGGATATTTAAAAATCAGGTTGCCTAATGCTGTTATTTGAACTGATTTAGTAAAAGAACTGTTCATAGCTTTCTATGCAACTCACTAACACACATCAGTTCAACAATTTTGTTACATTAAAATTACTTGTTTTGTCACCACGTAAAACTTTAATGTAATGTTGACATCTTGTTCCATAAGTGTAATGTTAAATAAATGTCCAAAGACAAACAACTTTAGTGGAATAAAGATGGAGAAAGTTTTATGCTGTTTACAAATAAAAAATATTCTATTTATAGTTAAATAATTGAATAAATAAAGTTGTGGATTATTTTACTAGAACACATGCATTATCCAAGTGTGATGATGATGCTTTCTTTACTCAATGCACTGCTTGAGAAGAAACACATTACAATTATTTTAAATACTCATGACAATTATATCGGTTGTGATACAGAAAGGCAAGTGCTGTTTGGTTTCACTAATATGTGAACTATGACAACTGAGAACATAATAGTAGTTACCAGACACTGAGAGAAATGGGGGGGGGGGGGAGTTCAAGTGCTGATGGACAAATGTCAAATCAGTGGGTTCTAAGTTATATTTAGATACTAGCAGGAAGTTCACCTTTGCTATTGTACAGTAAGGAGACTATATTTAACAATAATATATTGTGCTTTTAAAAACTCTACAATGCAGAAGGAAGGAGAGGAGGATCTCCCCTATCAGTGGACTGGGAGAGGGGCATGGGTGGAAAAGAGGGAGGAGGGGTGGGACTGGGAGGGGAAGAGGGAGGGAGCTACAGGTGGGATACATACAAAGTGAATAAACTGTAAATTAAAAAAAAACTTTACAATGAATTTTGAAAGTTTTCACCACAGAAAAGTGACAAATGCTTGAGAAGATAAATATGATTGAATCTAAACACTTTTAATGTATACATGAATAAACACATCACATGGTACCCTAGTAATATACTCAATTTTAATGTATAAGGTAGAAATCATTTAAAATTTTAAGAAGTAGACAAACTGCACCACATTTATGTTAGATTTAGGCCATTTTGTGTTTCTGTATGCTGAGAGTTCCTTTCTTGACTTATTAAGAATAATTTCTTAATTATTATTTTGTTTGTAGTATTCATCCTTTACTTTCCGTTTCCCTTCAAGTAGTAGTATGCCACATCCTATATACAGATTTCTAGTATTATACTTGAATTTATTTCTTCCTAACTTATATACTATGCTCATCAGACATTTTAGCTTACTTGCTATACAGTTTACAATATGCTGTTGTTACTTTGCATCCAATGTTCAGTAAATTTTTGAGGATTTTGAAAATAAAAGCAACACCTAGAAAACAACCTAGGTGCTTTGTGATCACTCTGTGTTATTTTTTATATTTACTTTTCAGCCAATAAAATGATAAATTAGAACAAAGTAAAGATAAAACTTAAGTGAAGTCATTCAAACAATAAACAATAAAACTTATTCAGCTAATTGACTTCCAAATTAAGCTGCAAATGGGCCAGAGGTCCATAAATTCTTCATATAAAAGAATGAGATACTGTGGAATTCACGAATGATGTCATGATAAACATGTAAGATAATTCAGTAAGTGAGATAACCAATATACCATCATCAACATAATTTCACTATCTCCCTTAGGTGTCAGTTTGTCTGTCATTGTTTCTGACTTCCCCACATAGTAAATACACAGTTCTTGTGAACACAGTTTTTTTCTGGCATATATTTTGTATAAGAGTTGTTACTGCAATAATACGTAAAAATAAAACAAAAGTTATAAGTTTTCTTACTTTGTGTGTCTGCAGCAAAAGTTTTCAAATCTATACTGAAAGTAGGCCTCCATGGGTAGGTCTCTAAAAACCCATCCAATACACCCCTAAAAAAGATATTTATTATTTTAGTAACTCTAGAAAACACCTTGTGAATATAATAATTCATATAAACCTGTTATATTTTATGACGGATCATCTGAATTATTAGGTTATAAACATCTGTAAAATCCATGCTAGTAGCTAGGATCTGGGGAGATTTCTGTAAGCTCCACAAGTCTATACTACAAATGTCTTAACACAGGGTAAGAGGGATATTTTCCTAATACCTACTATGTGCTGAAGTGTAAACTTCCGAGTCTTTGATCTATATAGTTAAGTTATCTTTAATACTCATAAAAAGTTACGTACAGTTGGTCTGTTTGCAATTCTACTTGCCTATTATTTCTAGTACTTATTAAAGGGGTTACATATATATTGAATATGATTGTTACTTTACTTACCTGTTTCTCCCAGGATCTCTAAATCCTTTGGCAAATGGATTCCTGTCTATTTTCAGTTTGGTAATCTATGAATTCAAAAGAAAGACAAGGAAAAATCCAGCCTATGTTCTCAGGAATAATTCTACCACTATAATGTGGTATATGTGAGCAAATAAGTCAGATTTAATATTATTGTCTCCTTTGCCTACTGGTTCCTTTTGCTCTGATCTCTTGTTTCACACAAGAAACACACAAGTTTTTTTTTTTTTTATCAAATCTCACTTGATATTGAATAAAACAATGATACTTTTTTCTCCATTGTTTAAAATTCAACCCATACATTATATCAGGAGGGCCACTCCCACCTCCTGGGGGCTATGTTACCTGCTGGTTTTGGTAAGCTGTCACGGTAGTGAATTCAGTTTCTTTAAAGGAGAATGTTTTAACTCCTTCAGTAGGAAAGGGCTGAATCAAGGACAGGTCAGTCCTGCTGTCCTGCTCCATCACATGCACACGGGGTTTGTACTTATGCATGGACTGCAGAATGATCTAAAGAAGAAATGGTTAAATGCTCTCTGAGACACTGACTTCTTCCCAACACCACCCCCAGTTTACAATAACCTCCAATGAAGACACACCCCAGGAATTAGATACAAGTATGCCAGGAAGGTTCAGATAACCACAAACAAGGACTCTGTTGTAGGCTTTGGCCCCCAACAGAAACCCTCCTGGTTGTAAGTTTTCCAGAGGAAGGCATCACAGTGACATGGGCACTATGCAGCAAATTCCATATCCAGCCTTTCCTGCTTCCAAATGTGGATGATCTTGTGACGTGGAAGTGCCCTAGGGAGCTGATCAAATGATATGAACTCTCTGGGCAGTAACTGATGTTCCCAAATATGGCCAGAAATCTGATATTCCCCACCACCTAATCCTTTTGTGGCTGGCACAAGACTAGGTTGAGAGGGCTTAAGATCCAGGAAACCTAAAAATAAGCAGGAACTGACTCCTGAGAAGCAGGTTGTGGAAATTTCCATTCTGGCCTCTCATTTGCTGCCTTACATCCTCCCATCACATAATATCAAAGGTACCCATGTAACAAATATGTGGACTTCAGGAAAGGCAAAAGCCCACAGTGTTGCCTGCGAAGCCACTATATGCCTTACAGCACTGTGAAGTGTTCCCTTGCACTCTCCAGAGCAGTACATGCTCTCTAGCTTAAACTGCTCTCTTCTTTGGGGGTCTTTGGGCTCTCAAGCACCTTGCACTCCTTCCCAGAGTCCAGCATCCTCAGGTGGCAGAGGTTAGAAGACTCCTTTGTGGTCTCCAACTTACAAATCCAAGAGCTTACTCCCCCCCCCAAACTTACAAAAAAAGAGCGACCACTTGAGGGCTAGCTCTGGCCTGGAGCCTAGGCACCTACCTCCTCTAGGTGAAAGATTGTGCTCACTTACATGACCCTTGTCATCCATCTCATTGTTTGTAAGTTTCACTCGATCAAAGGAGATGATTTGACGCATCCAGTTTTCTCCTGAGCAAGGGGAATCTGGATGAACGTAGAATCTGGGAGTGATGGACGAATGGTCACTATTCCCAGCTACCATCCACTGTGAGCTGTGATACACGTACCTGAGGGAATGAAAAAATGTCGGTGTGGCTTTAGGCTCAGCTAGCACAAAGCAGAGAGATGGGGGGGGGGGCTTCAGAGTTCTTCACCTAAGAGCCTCAGCAAAAATTAACATCTAGTATATAAACAGAAGATGCAGTTTCATTTCCAAAGAGCTTTCAAAGGCACCAAACACATACACATATGCTATCAAAATGCACTGAAGTACCCAAGCGAGTAAAATGGCATGGGATATCTGCGTCTGGTATTTCCTCACAAAAAACGGGAAGGAATCAGTCTGATTTATTTTCTCACTGCAGCTATGCTGAAAAAAAATCGACAGGTTAGAAGCGCGAGGAACGAAAGAGAGAGCCAGACACTATGTTTGCCCACCACACCCTTAATAGTTTTTGTCAAAACCCGCTTTTGCTGGGAATCCCTTTGCCAATGAAAGTTCACATCAGAAAACTCCAAAGGAACCCTGCCCCGTGAAGCCAGAGGGGCTGATTTTTCGAACTGTTTCCTATTTCAAACTGTTTTGCTCAGGATTGCCCACCCTACCCAGCACTTGAAAAGCAAGCAGCTGCTTCTGTTTCCAGGCCTAGAAAGTTTCAACTTGCTGCTGAGTTGCAGTAAGTTTCTTGCCTCTAGAAACAGCTACAAGGCTAAATAGGCTCTTCCCTAGGGCCAGACACCCTCACCTTCACTTTCAGAGTTCCTAGTCAAAGCATCAGCAGGGCAGCACTTCTAGGCAGCTAGCTGGAAATGTTCTAATCTTTATAGCAATTTATAAGCATTTGGTCCATCCTAGTCAAGGACTTCAAGAGAAAAATAATAATAGAATCCAGGCACTCTCTGGATCTGACCATCCCTTCAGGCAAAAATATTAAAAACGGAGAGAGCATATGGGCAAAAAACGAACCCTGACCTTAGGAACCTGCCACTAGGTTTGGGCAAATCCTGACATCATTTGAGAACCTGCCCAGATTACAGCCTGTTTCCAGAAACCAGGGTCCACCTTGAGTCTAAGGTATTTCTTCCTAATGTTTTTCAAACTGCTTGCCTCCAGGATGCGAGAACCCAGATCAACAGCAGTTTACAACTCCCAGGCACAAAGAGTGGATAGGCAGAAGGTACAATGGCAGCCATTTAACACCAACTTCCCCAGGAGGGAATAAAATGTGCCAACCCTTTCTTCACTTTGAACCCAGATTCAAATGAGAAAATTCAGCTATCAGAGACCAAGTATGAGAAAGCTTCTCTCCTCACCAGGTATAATATATATATATATTTATATAGCCTGCTGTCAGGTGTCAGGCTTTAGGACTGATGCTCTGAATCTGTGTCCTCAGCCTGTTTGGACCTTAACTATGTAAAGTAGAATATCTCTCTACCCACCTATAGCGTTTGGAATCCACTGGCACAATATCCAAAACCACATAGTACTGCTTCATTGGGTCCATCCCTTTCACCTTGATCCGAACAGAAGGAAACATACGTCTGTGGAAAAGAAAATAGGGGTTTGGATAGAAAATAGAACCTGGGAGATATTAGAGATATTTTGAAGGAAGATAAGTTGTGGACAAATACAGTCATTACTCTTCCCTTTCCATGATGGGTTAGGGAATGGCATTTTTTTAATGTAAGAAAAAGGGCTGATTTAACAAGTTCAAGATTTCCTAGTGGTGGAGAATATCTTTATGAAAAGTCGTCATCCACCACCTCCCACATGATATTAAAAATCATAAGAGAGAAAAATAGGACAGGAAAAGTTTTGTTCTTTTCCTGTATTTAGTAGAAGGGGGTGTCAGGTAGATTTGTGAAAGGTTGAAGTTAGGAAGAATACTTAGGAGACTGCAGCACACCAAAGATTAGATTTTAGAAAGGCTGACTTCCCAGGGGTCTGAGCCCGGGGATGGTGTGCTGGGTGGAGTATTTGCTGCTGTTTTCTAGGCTTGCACTGAGAGGTTGGCCACAACGATAAGTTGGAAAGACATCTGGCACTTGCCAGGCAGAAGTTGAAAGAGTGAGTCCATGGAGTAAGGATGTATCAGAAGACATGAGTAGATCGTTTAATGTAGCAAGGTACTTCCCAAAGCAACGGACTGAATAGTCTGTGGCTTTCTAATGTCTGCCAAAAAGTGGAAAGGGGGAGGGGTTTCACGTTACAAAACGGGATTCTCCTCCTTAAGTGCCTACTGTACGGGATTCATGGAAATCACTGGCCGAGCCAAAGGAACCTGCCAGCCTTGGTGATGATCATCTCAGTCCCAATATCGTAGAATCTCTTCCATAAGTCGAATCCTTGAAGCTCCACTTGGATAATACTTTTTTCTTGCAGACTTTCTTGTCTGCTGTTCTTGCCGCCAGAGCAGGAGAAAGCAGTTTTTGAAGATTCTGCCTTGGGTCGTTTTTCTGCTAGACACGGGATTTGAGAGTTTGTCAGGTTTCACACACCCCTTTCCCAGGAAACTATATTTGAACTAATAAACCTCTTCCTAATCCCCTTGCCCCGCAGAAGTTTGATTCGTAAATTCCCCACAGAACCCTTTGTGGTTTCTTAATGAAGAGAGAGGGGCCCAATTTGCATCCCATGAAAGGTGGTACTCTTAACATTCTCTCACCCGCAACCAGCTATAAGCTGACTCTGAAACTAGATTTTCCTGGGGAATTTGGGAGACAGTCTGCTTCCTACTGAAAGGAACAGCCAAGTCTGGCTCTTAGGATTTTGTAAGAGGTGTGTAAATCAGTCCTGTAAAAGCAAGTGGGACCCTCCTTTTCACTGCAAACAAACCACAGGATTTCCAGTGAGATTCATACTCTCTGAAATTTGTCCTAAAGTCAGGTGGCTAAAGTGTTCCACAATCCACAACCGGTCCTGTGCCAGGACTTCTTGGCCACTGCGCAAAGAACTAGGCAAAGAAGATCCAATTCAGCCCGTGCGCAAGGGAAGTGCTCAGGGTAATGCAAGAGAGTACTCACCAGGCTGCTGGCTGTCCCCAGAAGCACTCGACATCTCCTTTTCTTTCTCTATGCACCGCTCCTCCTGCAGCTCAGGCTGCATTTCCTCTCTTGAGTCTTGAGATTTTCTTTTGCTGGGTCTCCCCATCAAGGCCTCCACGGAGAAGGCTTGCGCTCGAGAGCTCAGAGCCATCAGTGGAGGGGAAGAAGTGAACGTGCACTGCAAAGTTTCAACCTGAGCTGGGTGAGGGAGGGAGGAGGAGAGGGAGGGCGCAGATGAGAGGCAAAAGAGAAAGCTCACAGAAAAAGTCTTAAACCTGAAAACCAATTTCTGGATCCGCACTCAACAACAACAAAAAAAATCTGCCCCTCTGTTATATATGAATATATTTTTATTTAAATAGACAAAATAAAAGAAAAGGAAGATTGAACTTGAGTTGAAATCCTAGGAGGTGTAGTCTCCCTTTCTTTTTCGTCGTCCTCTTCCCTCTCAGTGGACTACTGTGTACCATCAGTTCTCAAATCCTTGATTCTGGGACCTTCCAGAGTCCAGGGACTGACAAATTTTAAGGAGTGGACCTGCTACCAAAGGCAGCTCAGGCCAAAGTGTTTGAGAAATATTGTTGTATCTGATGGAGTGACTACCCAGCCAGTCACACACTACATAGTTTGTTTTGGAAGCTGTTGAAATGTAAATGTGACACTTCTTAGGCATCTGATAGGGAGGAGGAGCTGGGGTTGTTTCAAATGGGGAGGGGAAGGAGATGCAAGTTACTGTTTTACATTAAATTGTAAAACTCTAAGACATGTGAAATAATTCTCCACGAGGGACCACTTGTTCAAGAAAGAGCAAATATTACTTAATCAGATTCAGATAAATGTATCTAGGATTTTTCGCTCTCCAGTGACACCATTGGAAACACAGAAGAGAGTGCAAGCTTTCAGGCTAGTAGTTCCTACCTTAAACTGATAGCCTAAGCAGAACAAGTCCATATAAATTCTTTTTCTCATTCTAAAAGGTCAAGAAAGGAGTGTTAAGAGTATTCCAGACAGGGCAGTCAAAGGTTAGAGACACCCTGTGCCTTCATACCCTCTTCAAATTCACACAACTAATTTGAAAACACAGCCTAAGGACTAGAGAGTAGCAGCAAAAGAGAATCTTTGCTCCCAACTATGTGTGAAGAAACTTAAGTGCTGAAATCTTAAGTAATTGGTTTTAGTGCCCCCTAAAATACCTTCATGGGCTGACTTTTGATTTTCCTTAAAATTAATCACAACATCCTTTGTGCCCAGAAGAGACTGTCATTATCATTTCCAAGGAACACTTTCGTCTGCAAATGTGACTAGCTTGCCTGTGTGGTTGTCAATTGGTCACTCACTTTTCATCATAAGTAGAAAATCAGGTACTCTTAGACTCTTGCACACTTACACATTTTAGAAAATATTCTTCTGTCCTTTGACATGTTTAGTCAAAGGACATCCAAAGTCATTTCAGCTCCAGTTGCAATAGAAATGGAATTTGAGTGAACTTATAGTATCTCAATACTGGAGTTTAAGAACAAAAGACTTTTAGAACATTTCAAGTTCAACTATATAACTGCAAGCCTAGATTTTTCATGAGAAGATTGTTAAGGTGATGGTGGGTCATTCAGCCATGGGGAGGACGTTCTTAGGCAACTGAGTATAAGTTAAAGTACTCTAATAATGTTGGGTACCACAAGAGAGACTTCATTGCAATTTGAATGCTGCTGAAAGATAGGATCCAATATAGAGATGAGAAAACTAATTTTATCCTAGGGTTGCAGAGTAAAGCTGACAATATAAGGAAAATTCCATTATTCAAAGCATTTGGGTGAAAACCAATAGGGCTGGATATAATCTTTGTCACAACTCATGGATATTTCTTTTTTCATCTATTAAAATCCAGAGGGAGAATATTTGTCATTTATTCACACACACACACACACACACACACACACACACACACACACACACATATAAATATGTGTGTATATATGTATGAGTGTATACACACACACATGCATGTTCTTATCTAAAAAGCATAGTTCAGAAAAAGAAAAGTCAAGGGTTTATTGGTTAGTCTTAGTCTGCTAACAACCATATAGCATTTGAGTTATTCTCTCCCCATCTGATAATTTTCTTGCTTTTAAAACTGACTCATTTTATTTCTCAAAAACAGGGCAAGGGAAAGACAAGGGAAAGCTTTGCTTAGTAGAGGTTTTGAAGAGATTTCTGTAAAAGTGAGGTAACAGATGTTTGTTACACTGTCAGTTCTAGTACTTCACGCTGTCTACTATGATATGATTTTCTTTAACCAAGGAAATAGCATATCTTGGAATATAAGTTCCTGTATTACCAGAAATGTCTTCCTTAATATTTATTATATGCATGTAATTTAGTCATCCATAACTTTTTTATTTGTGTAGCCTAAACTTTTCTCTTCCCAATTTAATAACTATCTGATGATATTATACTGAGGAAAAAATGTAGCTCTGCTCTTGCTCAAGTTTGCTGAACTGAAGTGCAAGTAATTACTGTTAGCTTGTATTTACAAGAATCAAGTATGGCAGAACCAGCTTTGCAATCTGTTCACTTCCTCATGATCACAGCTATGAGGTACTGGAGGCTTGAGGGGCAATTCGCTAAGTATATACTATCTACCCAGAAGTCGTCTTTCTGTAGATTCTAGTTTTAATCCAGGAACACATATAATCCTTTAAAACAGATTATCTGTCATGGTGTAGAAGTGAAAAATGAAGAAAAATGATAGATACTTAAATATGAGTTGAAAGTCATATGATTTATTTTAATTCTTCTAGAATATATTTGTATCAAAATATAAAAAAGTCATTTGTTTCTCTACCAAATATATAATATCTTATTTATAACTATAAACAGGTACATTATTAAAGATTTATGAGGAAATATAAAAGTGTTGTTTCTAATGAACTCTATACACATAGGAAAAAATGTTTAAAAGGAGTGAAGTCTTCTTAGGGGAAAAAAAAAGTATCTTAACTAACTTAAACTATCTTAAACTTTGATACCAAACCTATACGTCAAGATATTTCAACTCCTACTTTTCATTAGGAGATAATTGTTTCAGACATATTTGACACATGTGTGTCTGTGTGCATTCATATAAATATTATACAATAAAATTAAACTTGGAGCCTGACTAGAAACAAGCACAAGCAACTTCATGATGGAGATTGTTTCTTTTAATCGTTATTCTTTCTCTCCATTGATTTTCACATGCCCAGAATAAGATGTTCTATGTAGTTCCAACACTGCAGAATGCAAATCAGAGACAAGCTCTTCCTCTTCATGACTGGTTTTTTTGTTGTTGTTTTTTGTTTTGTTTTTACATCTAGAATGAACACAGAAAATGCACAGCCAAGAATTGTCAGATATGGTCTGCCTCCTATCATTTTCATACCTAACTATAACATTCCCTGAGCTTGCTACATTGCATGAAACAGGAAATCATCTTATTTGCTTATGTGAGTTTCAAATTAATTTACATCACTTAAAGACAGAACAAACCTAAAAGAATACATTATTTTTTTCTTTTTCTTTCTTTTTTGTTAATCTTTTATTGTTGTTTGTTTTGTTGATGTTTTTGTTGTTTTGTTTTTCTTTTTCAAGACAGGGATTCTCTAAGTAAATCCTTGCCTGTCCTGGACTCACTTGGCACACCAGGCTGGCTTTGAACTCACAGAAATCTGCCGGCCTCTACCTCCCTGAGTGCTGGGATTACATGCATGAGTGGAAAAAATACATTCATGTTGACAAGGTTTTTGGATGACCAACTTGTTATCTAGGTCTTCCTTTCCTCTTTTTTTTTTTTTTTTTTTTTTTTTTTTTTTTTTTTTTTTACAAAACAACAACAACAACAAACAATAGCTTTATAGATAAGGAAATAAGGAGTTATTGAAACACTGAGGAATACAAACCTCCTGTACAAACTAGAATCTGAGTTCCTACATGATCTCCAGTATTATGATAATAAAAGGATAAAGCTGAAGCAGTAAGAAGACAGACCTGGAATTCATAATGATCTAATTCAAATTCTGACTGTAGTACTTTCAGAGTCTTTTGGTTCACATTAAACCAACTTTTCCCCAGGATTCTAAGCTTTTACCTATAATACTGTCATCATAGAATATGTTTCTGGAAGAGAGTAGATATACCAGAAGGTCAAGCAAAAAAATTTGTACAAACCAGTTAGCACAATGCCTGAATCAGGGTTCACAGCTGTGTTTAACATTAAAGAGATAAGAAAGTTATTTTTAAGAACGTGTTAAACTTTGTTATACATCAGTAAATTCTTTGACTCCACATCCTAGAAGGAGCAAAGAGTCAGGCCAATGTCCAATTTTGGTTAAATTTTACCTCAAATTCAAAAGGCCAAATGTGTTAAGACTAATTGTTCTTAGATGGAGAATTTTATATGTAATTAAAATCAATGAATGAAATAAAAATATTGCATTTGGATTCCAAAAATCCACAGTGAATATGCTTGCTGGAACACATAATTTGATTTTATTAACTTTGCTTTTGTAATAATATTTTTGTTATTCTATCATTGCGATGCAAGTGTATATTCTGAAATAATTAGATGGATTAGTAAATGATAAGCAAGTAACATATAACTGTGTTCTTATTCAAGAGATTTGAGGAGACTTCCCTAACAAGTATTAAATAAAGTCTCCCAGTGGACCATTCATTTATGGTTTGGATTAATTTGGTATGATCTCTCAAGAAGTTCTGTGAGCTTATTAATCTAACAATTCAGTTAGGCTTAGCATGTGAATTATACATGGCAAATATTGTTAGCATTATTTCTAAGGAGAAGTGGAGAACAAAGAGGGGAAAATAAATTCTTATCTTTACTAGTTGTGTTCTCTCTAGGAAAGAAATGGAACCATTAGCTGAACAAAAAGTTATTCTGTTAAATTTAATTATATTGCTATCAAATACTGAAGACCTTCTTATGATAATAGAACATTAGGCTTAGGCTCATTATATTTCTTTTTTTTTTTGAATTTTATTTTTTTCTTATCAGTTACATTTTATTAACTCTGTATCCCAGCCCTGTCCCGATCCCTCATTCCCTCCCAGTCCCTCTTTCCCTCCCTCATCTCCACCCTGCCCCTTTCCAAGTCCACT